ATGTATATTACTTTTCCTTCGAGCATGCGGATAAAAATCTTTCCGCGAGATTTTTCGTTTTGAAATTTGTACTGTTCCGTGCAATGTTACTTTTCCGAGCGATTTTCACTCTTATCGAGGGTAATACCACGAGAGTTCAGGTCTAGCCAGATATTTTTGTGGTTGTTTTCGAATACTTGATTTCATCAGAGAAATAAACAAAGTATTGATTCGAATATTTGAATAAAAAATTAAAGATTGAAACAAACTGCCTATATCAAATACCTTGGTATATGGATTGATGAAAAGTTAACATTGGACAAGCATATAGGCATGCTCAAAGAAAAAAATTCTCCCATAGTTGGTACCCTAAGAAGATGTCCAAAACTTATCCCAAATATAGCAAGTACCGTTCTATACTCTCACATCCTTAGTAAAATGAACTATCTCAGAAGTTTTTATATTTTATTTTCAAACTCTTATCGTGTGTGTTCAATAGATATAATTCAATATTCGTCGTGGCATATAGCCAGGAAAGTAGTTGTTTTCTATTGAATAAACTGAAAAAGAGTAGATATTCTCATCACATAGAGAATGCGAATTCTCAATGTATTGCTTCATAAAAATATATATCCATTTTTGTATGTCCATAATTTATCTGAGAATATTCCATTTCAACACTTCCTGTTCCAAGAATAATTTTAACTAAATATCTGTACTGTATAAGAAAGCATTAAAAGTACTGTATCGTCTTCCATATGACACCCCATCAAATCAACTTTATGAAGAAACAAATACATTTTCTTTGGAATAGCACTATCTGCTCAATATTCTCAAAATTTATTCTGAAATTAACAAACACCTCAAATCTAACTTCATATTAGTACAGAATTATCAAATCCATGAACATCATACTAGACAATATGACTTATTTCATCTTGATGCTGCTAATTCTACACTTGGCCAAAAAAGTTTACTCACGGAGCTATCTCAAAATTCAATAAAATACCTGATGATATCAAGAGCTGCACGAATATAACCCAATTCAAAATTGAAGTAAAGAAACATATTCTCTTGCAAAGAAATATTCAAACCTGAGTGAATGATTTCTCATTCACTAATTTATTTCATTTTATTATTATTATTTTTGTATCTGTTGTTTATTTCAATAACTTAGATTTATTAACGCATGAATGGAAATAAAAAGTATTGGCAATTTAACAAGAGCTGTTTTCACCACGTATTCTTTGTAATCTTCCCCATTCTGTTTCTTCACTTACTGTTCGGTTTCCAAGTTTCGTTGTTTTCAAGTTCGCTAAATTGGTTCCAAATGGAGAAATTACTTTGTTTTGTATTATCTGGAGTTGATTTTTCAATCTTCTTTACTATTTCTGCCTCGCAGACTTGGTAAACGAACAGTAAATGCTGAATGGAATTGTCGAAAAATCATGCGGAAAAGTTACACAAGTGCTCTTCTTTTTGGCACCATTTCTGTATTGTTCAAAATGAGGATATGTAGGACTAACTAAATTATCTATGTATGATCTATGTAACTATTCTGTCATGTGTCATTTTTTTGCATTATTATAAAATCTTGTTAACTGAAAACATTTTTCATCATAAATGATATGGACAAAAGCACTCGTAGAAAAAACATTGTACCTGAAACTCATGCGGAAAAGTACTACTTTCCGCACTTGTTAGGTAAAGAACCATTTCATGCCCGATTTGGGAATGTAAGGAATTTTCCGAAATTTTTATCAGAAGATTGGGGAATAGGTGGGGCTAAGGGCATTCCTTCCCCTACATTTTTTTTCTATGCAATTTTCGGCAGAAATTATGAAAATGTCATCATTTTTACTTGAAAACGATACTATTGTTCAGTGTAGATAGCACTCACAATTTTAGACATAAATTGATTTGTAAATTCTGCTGCATAATAAAAATAGTTACTATTTTTCAATTTATTCGTTTCATTGTTCCTCCCATATTTTGAATCGAATATCACGAATAGATGTTGAAAATGGGTATTTTCAATCGAAACATAATTTTTGGGAAAAATCGGTACCCTATTGTGTGGAAAAACACTATTTTTGCTACCCAGCAGACTTTTGAAGTCTATTTATTTCGAAAATGGTGTGTGATATTGAAACTAAACAGAAGTACCATTTTTGAGTAAAAATTATGATATTTTCAGATTCCTTGGTCAAGAAAAAAGAGTTGGGGGAAGAAATGCCCCTAGCCCCAGCTATTTCCCACGCTCCCGATCAAAATTTCGGAAAACTATTGAAATTTCCAAATCAGGTGTGAAAACTAATATACATGTACAAAATTTCGTTATCACATCACAAAGGGTTTCGGTTATTATTACAAAATATCATCTCGGGCAATCTCTCAGATGACTACAACTCCCCAGGAGGCCATTTCCGGGCTCATGTTCATGTGCATTTTTTTAAAAATATTTCTGTTCATAGAACCTGTGGTTGAAATCATTCTATGTAATTCCAGGAGACCCTTTATAAACATAATGAAAACGAAAAAGATATTAGGGTTCGTATGTATGCTCTTTTTTGCTCGTATGTTATGAAACATGTAAACATTGCATAACGATGGAAGGGGAACTATAATGTAGTCACATCAATCATGGCTTGTTCTATAATTTACAATCACTTGCGCCAACCTCGATGAACATACATCGCGTGGAAGAATGTCGCTAGGTTCAGCCCGGTGTGCTACCAAAATCACAGGTAACATGGCAGAGCCGATAGTTCAAATGGACCGTCTTTATTGACAAAACATTCGGAATCAAATATAGCAGAATATAGGTTTCTATTATCCCAAAGTGAAATGAAATATTCCATGGTTGGTAGAATTGAAAATTATTTATAGAGGAAAGTTGTCATGAGTAATATCACGATGTTCTGAATATTCCAGATAATTTTGTCGCATCATTTTTTACGAAATTGCGTTGCCGAGCAACAACACGAGTCTCCCAGGACGAGAGATATTGCTGTAAGGCAACAAAGTGGTATTTTGCTAGACTATTTCACGTTCACGAAGCATAAAAAGCATTTATTATAAATGAGTGATTCATTCTGACAAGTCCAGTCATAATTATTTTATGCTGAACTGACAGACTTGACTCCAGAATAGAATTTTCAATAAAATGACATTTCCCCTTACCACGTTTTCTGATCGAGGTTAGTTTTTTTCTACAAATGATCATCAATTCTACCCACCTCTATACAAGGTGGTCCAACGAAAACTTCAAAATGAAAATCCGGAAAACGCTCGGACCCGTCGATATTCGATTCGAAGAGAAACGACTTGTCTGCTCTCTTCATTCCCATAACTTCAACCCCCTGCCAGATTTTGAATAGGGATGAGGAGTTGTTGATAAAATAACAGATGAGGTAATGTCGCCTTTACCTCGAGAATATTATTCTCATTATAGTAGGATTCGAAAAGTATGTAAACAGCAAACAATTTTGGTCGGCCTTATGATGGCCAGAATTGGCCAGCCAGAACTGTAAAAATCTTGATCATCGATGGGCCAGTACCAATAGGAGACCCTGGCCTTTATCAGGGCCAGTACATGTCTGCCGATACATTCGAATAAAAAAAGACGACCATTTTATATGACTCAGACGACTTGCCTATTTTTTGATGGCCGAATTTGATGACTCTCATAATAATTTTTGAATGCAAAACGCTGGAATAGCGCAGTGTTTCAATTAACAGTGCTGCTCCCAAGGTGGCGTATGGAGTTGGAAGCCTACACAGAACACACATGGACTGAAGGACCTCTCATAAGGTCGATGACCAGTTGGTATGTACATATACTTACTCACCTTATCTGAATGCAATGAATAGACAGTAGTAGTAGTAGTAGTAAATGTATGTATGTATGTATGTATGTACATACCAACAGGCCATCGACCTTACGAGAGGTCCTTCAGCTCATTAGTATTGTGTGTATGCTTTGTTACTAACTCCATACGCCACCTTGGCAGTAGCACTGTTAATTGGAATCATCTCCGGCCAAGGCTACGAGAATTATAAATATTATAATTATAACTCGTTTTATGAATAAAAAATCTCTGCTCTTCCGGGAATTCGAACCTAGCAACCTTGCAATGTTCTGATTACTAATCGAGCGCCTCAATTACTGCTATGTAATGTAACTGTAATGTAATCACGCTCTATATTTGACACGGTGCCGGCTAGATTATAGTCAAACGATTTCAATATGCCATATAATGGGTAGACGGTTGTATGACGTAGGTAAAAACATAATACGAATTGACACTATTGGCCCAGTGCTGGCTGAATTATAGGCGAACGATTACAATATGCTATATAATGGGCCGACGTTTGACCAGTGCACCTTGGCCATGGTCAGCAATCTGCCGATCTATCAAGTACTGGGCCAGAAGGCGGCCAGATATTTGATGTTTGCTGGGTATTTGTTTAATATTTTTTGTTACATAAAAGACCTCAGTTCATCGTGAATATTCAACAATGTTTCAACCGTGTCAAATCGAATGTAGAATATTTAAAACGAACAGATATTGCGTCCATAAACTTTTTAAATAAATACTTTTCGAATCCTACTCTAATGAGAATAATATTCCCGAGGTAAATTTGACATTGCTTTTTCCACTATTTCATCTCACATTTCGTTATCGATGAACATTTTGACGCAAAATCAGAAGGTCGGATAGTACTCGATGAAATTTTCAAGATGAGGTATTGCAACACCCCTCATCCCTATTCAAAATCCTTGGGTAGTGCTTCCCCCTCCTTGAAGTTACGGGAATGAAGATAGCAGACAAGTCGTCTCCCCTCGAATCAGAAATATCGACGGGTTCAAGCGTTACTCCGGATTCTCATTTCAAAGCCCTGAAATCAGTGAGTAAAGTAGACGTTGGACTACCCTGTATATGCGAATAATCACGCCATCTGTTGTTGGATATGCACCAGTCTGACAAAACAATTTCATCATACAAATCATCACTTACGTCCTCAAATATTTGTGGTGTATACTTGGGAGGAACAGGCAAAGAATGCATTTTCCCATGAGGTTCTTTGATTGTAGGAGGTAGGATATTGACGATTCTTCCAGTGTTGTAGTTACATTCGAGTGTATAACTTTTTATTATACCAGTTATCGACAAAACGGCCACTCTTCCCGAACCTGCTCGGCTCATTCCATCTCTTCTATCCCTGAAAAGTTATTTTTTTTATAGATCATTTACTAACAAGTTTTATGGATGTTATTTCTAAAATAGATACTTCTGATTCAAAGGGCCAAGGCAATTGTCATTGAATTCTCTGAAAATTCACCTATTTAGCTGATTGCATGAAACAAATGATGAATGATTATATATTAAGTTTCAAATATTTATGGCAACTTATGCCTAAGTGGGTGAGTTTGGAGAATTAATTTTCCGTTCAGATGAAAAAAGTAATGCAGCCGTAAATATACAGGGTGATTCAAAATTCGATGTAACTTTTTTGAGGACATAATGTTGGGATCAAAATGAGACTTATTCTTTATATAAACATGTGTCCTAAAATGGACATAAACGTGTGGACCCTGCTCCAACTCCCTCAAAACTGGGTTAACATATTTTTTAGTCAAAAAAGAAGAAGAGTGATTGAAAAACAGGGGCATGCCAATTTTCAGACGATTTTTTCCTTTATTCTGATCACAATTTCAAATACTATTTTTTTACCCGACTTACAGTGGCTGTAATTCGGAGGAGGTGCATTTTGGGACACATGTTTATATGAAGAAAAAGTCTTTATGATCGCAAAAATCTATTCTTGAAATATTTGCATCGAATTTTGAATCAACCTACTAGCTATCAACAATCTGATAGTGTTGTCAGAACAGAGGGAGGTCATCGATTTTTATAAATATATGGCTGGAAAATATTTTCATTACTGAAGCGTTCAAGAAAACACTGGAAGTTGCGTCTATTACTATATTCAAAAATATCCCTGTTCACAAGTTTTTTCAATTATCAATCACTTCAATTAACTTCTGTCTATACCTTTTTTATTATTCAACAATTTTTTGAACAAACTGTCAGATCAGAGGTATCTTGAACATACTTCACTTTCACGTAAATTAACATTTTCAACAATGCAAAGGTTGCAAAGTATATTCTGAATATTGTACATCGAAAAGAAGCCGCAAATTGAAGCGCGGGAAGAATCGCTGAAAACTGATATTTCTGAACTGATATGATATATATTTGAAATCTCAATGTATCTACTAATTTGGATAAAATAATTGAATATTTGTACAAACTGACTATTTTTGAGTGTTCACCACATTCATTTATATAACAGTGAGTTGTGTTTACTGGCTGTTAAGCCAACTTGAATGGTAAGTGATTCACCAAGTGAATTCATATATCATTTCGAAGAATGAATACGAATACCGAACTTGTAAACGACAACTTACATGATAGATTGAAAAAGGCATCATGCATATAAAATTTGAGAAACTCTTATACATATTTCGGTTGTTTAAAAAATAGTATAAGAATAACGAACGGTGATGTTTACTGGTCTCAGACTATATTGGGGACCATTATCTTCAACCAGTAAACCGTCCTTAGCGTTTTTGATACTCGATATATTCTATTTGTCTTACCTGAGATACATATTCCTTTCAGTGAAATTACAAGAGTTGAAATGGAAGTGATGATTATTGATAGTCATCAGTTTTGGAAACAACATACATTCGACGTTCCTTTCTAAATCATCAAAATGATTACCGTACATGAAGATGCCTTTTTTAGATGCATGCCCATGTAGATCAAGATACATAAAAAGACCCGATTCATTTGAATTTTCATCTCCATGAGCACCAACAATCACTTTTTCAAAGTTCACTTCCTCTTTGCTCTTCGAATGTTTCAATTTGGCACCACAGTTTCTACAAAAGTTATGCCCTAAAAAAAAGGCAAATAAAGTCAAATGTAATTTTTGAAATATATGGATGAATCATGTATGCTCTTCGAGAAAAATAAATGAATTTTACCAACTACAATCATAATAAACATTCATTGAGGAGAGTAAGTGAGAAATAATTTGTAGTTATTTTAGAAGGATCACTTCAACGTGATTATTGAGGCCAGATGACCGATAATTATTGTCATGTCGTGTGCACAGCTTCCATAAAAGCTCAAGTGGTATTCATTTGTTTTCTACCATATCACACAAGAGGTCATCAAAGAATGTCAAGAATAACATTGAAGTGCCTACCTACTTTATTGATCATATAAGTAATTGAAAAATCGAATGACCATCAATTTCCTTATCCACCCAATAGCATATAGTTATGTTTGACATATTTTTCCATTGAATAAATCGAACATCGATGAATGTTGGCAGAAAAAAATTATGAGTGGTATACAACTATGAAAATTCTGTTGGATCACACAGTGACACGTAGAAATTTGTATCTTAGTCTGATATTGGTTCTTTCAAAAATCAAGGAATTCATCAGATCCATATTTTCTGATTAGGAGGCGAATTTCTAGAAGGAAGTTGTAAGTCTTTCTGTATCATTTTCCAATAATTCACGGAGTATAACATATCGTTGCCAGCGATTGTGTAGGACATTATTTCGGTGTCGAATTCTAGTGAGGGTTCGGAGTGCAAAGGTTTCGTAGACCTGCAAGTTCAAAATTTCAGGTCAACTTGGAATGTCCAAATGCCTTGAAGCCATAATGAGGCATAGGTCGATTAGGTGAGAGCAAATGAACGGTCTACTGTTTTATGAACGCCCAGGAGAAGGATAGTAGTTCTCCAGGTATATGTAATCTCATCGGAAGGTTTTCAGATACTGAAGCCATTAAATAGAACAATTTGGCATTCAGATCACATTGGTCTCGAGAGAGATTCTTGAAAGTCATTGAAACTCTACATTGGAGCTATTTACTCCTGAGAACACTATTGAAATACTCAAGTTTCATTAATGTCTGGAATTTGACAAGAAGGTTTCGATCCAATTCCATCAAAGTACTGCATAGAGCAGACTAGAGACCAAGTTTTCTTCAAGCCGATTTCATTTCAACTGAGTCACTAATAAACCTATTCAACTATACTTGGTCACAGAGAAAATAAAATAATTCCTACCAGAAAATAGTGAAAATTCAGTACACCTTCAAGAAGTACTTGTGTAATCTCAGTATACTTATCAAATAGGTATACCTGACCAAATTCACACCAAATAACTTAGTTATTGTCGATTCACACCGTGGTCCACTGTAACCAACTTGGTTATGATTTGGTATAATTCTTGAGTTGGGATTCCAAACTCCACTCAGAGGAAATGACGAATATTCACAAATTTGCAATAAACCGAAATAGTACGAATCATATGATTGTTAGTAGGACATTGAATCAAAGAAATGTGGAGTAACTTGCTGTCTTGCCCAAGATACACAACAAATTCCAGTATTAGAATGACCACTAGCACTGGTAGAAGTGGAGGACACTTAGTCGTCAGTTCTCCCAACGTACTCCTTGATTTCGCCAAGAGATTAGATTAACTGGGAGAAATATAACCATAGGGTGAGCCACGATAGGCCATAGACCGCAGTGGAGGGCCTGGCATGGGCCCACTCACGTTTAACCTAAGCTCATCAATGATAGACAATACGGCTTTCGCCACCGAAGATCTACTGGCCTACTCGCCTACGTCACCCAGTTATGGCAATCTTCAATAGAAAAACACGGGGAATCTCTAGCTGTCGCGTTGGACATATCGAAAGCATTCGACCGTGTTTGGCACGAAGGACTCCTCCACAAACTACCGTCATACGGCTTACCACCCCAGCTATGCCATCTCTTATCGAGTTTTTTTTTTTCAGGCAGATCGCTTCACGTGGTGGTGGACGGTGTATCGTCTGATACCATTGGCATCAATTCCGGCGTTCCACAAGGATCAATTTTGGCACCAACATTATTCCTGCTTCATATCAATGATCTGTTGGGAGTAACAACTTGCCCCATCCACAGCTTTGCAGATGATAGTACCCTCTATACTGCGTTCTCTTCCAGAATTCCCATTTCTTCACAGGAAACTAAGAACTCACGGCGCAGGCAGGTCAATGCTGTCAATGAAGATCTTGCTGAAATCACAGCCTAGGGAACAAACAACCTAGTTGAATTCAACGCCACCAAAACTCAAGCCTGCATTTTCTCTAGAAAGGCGGACCTCAGTATGCCCGATATTGTAATAACTGGCTCCACCATCCCCACCAAGCCCACCATATCTATGCTCGGTATTTCCATCAGCAACACGCTTTCATGGGATAATCATGTCAGATCCATCGCAAAAGCTGCTTCACAAAAACTCGGATTCTTGTTCCGTGCGAAAAGATACATTACACCTCAACAGCTTCTCATGATCTACAAAGCGCAGATACGGCCTGTTCTAGAATACTGTTCACACATATGGGGTTCAGCACCAAAACATACGCTGATGCTCTTAGATTCCATCCAGAGAAGAGCCATTCGCCTGGTGGGTGACGCCACACTCACTCACTCTTTGACATCATTGGAACACCGTAGAAAGGTCGGCGACCTTTCACTTTTCTATCGATACTTCCACAGGAAATGTTCTTCAGAAATCTCTGCTATCATCCCTTCACTAGCAATACCAATCAGACGAACTAGACAAGCCCATTCAGCACATTCTTTCGTTGTCAACATCGAAAGATGTCGAACAGCACTTTATCAAGACTCCTTCATCCATAGAACGGCTAGGCTCTGGAATTCATTGCCTGTGGAAGTATTCCCAACAACATATAATCTCCAAAAGTTAAAAAAAATTCCAATACCTACCTCCTGTCCCTATCCTCCCTAGGAACGCACGATGTTCTTTGAACATTATAGGGATTCCCTTTCGTGCGCTCCAAGCGATAAAAAAAAATAACCTAACCTAACCTAACCTAGTCGTCAGCAACTAGACCTCAATGGGTCGCTTTTGTAAGCTCCAATGTGTAATTAGCGATGCGGTTCGCTTGAGAACTGGCTAATACCTTTTCCAGTTACCGTTGGAGGTTACTTTTGTTCAACGCAGTTAGCTGCGGAGACGGGCTTGCTAGCTACTTTGTTAGGCCTGAAGTAGCCCAGGCAAAGTCTTACGTTCAGCAGGTAGGTTACTCAACTATCGAGGATGACGGTCGATACCACATCGACTAAAATTATTTGGTTCGAATATAGTCAATAATCAGTTAACAAAGACACTGTATAAACGTGGCCGATATAATTTACTCGGTATAGTGAATCTTTCTGAATAACTATCTTGAATGGCACTCATAAGCAAACCTGATGGGAATTTGGCGCAATTGTTACATGAAAAAGAAATGAGTCACCCTGGCAATACAACTTCATGACTACAACGATTAAATGGAACACTTCCATGATGTCATCTACTAAAATATTTTTATTGGGAGGATGATCCTATCTAAACTTGAATCAGTTGGAGATGGCAAGATGGTGTTAATGTCCGTGAGAATATTTTCCAATTTTAAAATTTGGCTCTTACATTTGGTACACCATGAGGGAGGAGGAGAATCTGTCTCTTTCAGAGATATTCGGGATACTTTGCTACTTATCAAGTCGTTCTGTTTGATATCTTCATCTTCAGTGAGACTGGCATCGGTTTGGTTACCACTTTGAGTTTTACAGTTTTCACACTTTGGGATGATGTCCTCTTTTTCAAAGCCAAAATGATGATACCTGATACAAAAATACACATCACATGTAGAGAATCGAATAATATAAACCAATAAATGTTCATAAGATAGATATACACAGCGAAAACATTTGCGAAAGTCTAAATGACACATTTAAATACTCCGCCAGCGATACGAATTCCGAATTTTGACTTATTCGAGTGGAATTTTCTTTCACCAAGGATCACCACAGTTTTGAGTAATTTCTACTAAACTCAACACTATACAATGACTTCAGAGGAATTTGAACTGAGATTTTAATGAAGAGGGGGTTCCTGTTACAGAATTGTCAGCTAGTAGGGGGGATGTCGTTACAGAACTCTCGGCTAGTGAAGGATTTGAATGTAGACGGGGGTGCCGTTACAGAACTCTCGGCAGGTAGAGGGTGCCGGCACAGAATTCTCTACTGGTAGGGGGTGCTGTGACATAATTATCTGCTGGTAGGAGATGCTGTTACAGAACTCTCGAATACTAGGGGGTGCCGATACAGCTCTCTCATAGTCAGTGAGACAGTGGCGGGGGTGCCGAATGGTGAGAGGTGCCGTTAGTCTCCCAAAGGGGGTGGAAGTAGGGGTGCCAAAATGGGGGCGGGAGGTGCTGTTAGGGCATTCTCATACACCATTGATAGGAACATGAGAAACCACATCATCATTTAGCTATGGAGAAATTGACTCCTTGGCCACTCGGCCCAATCACTAACTGTAACAGACTCATAAACTGTTTAACTTCAACACAAATCACCAACAATCTTGGTTTTTCTAGGGGTTGCACTTACAGAGTGTTCTGCGTCTATTAATATACCTACTCAATGTTTTTTTTTTCTTCGTTAATTATAACATATGAGAATTTAACTCAAAAAAGTTTGTACTCAACGCAAACTTCTTGAAGAAACATTCAACTCAATAACACGATATCAATATAAATAGAAACTGATTGAGAATCATTGTATGCTCATCAAGTTTTTATAGCTCAGGCGAATTTTACGTTCAAAAATTTTTAGGAATTCGCAAATTTCTTATTTTCATAATTTTGTAGTGATTCGAATATTTTTATTTGATTTGAATTATTACGTCAAAACACGTTTTATGAACTCTCAGTTGATGGGCGTACTCATGGTGGAAACACAATATGGTGTGATACGACGCATCTTCGTATACGTAACTGCGAGTAAAACGATTGCTCGCACTGCTTGCAGTTATTAATTCGCCCGAGTCGCTTGATACCTTCAATATTGGTGAGAGTATAGACTCGCAATGACGTTGTGCGCAGAAAAGATAAAATCAAGATACGTCAGTAGCACACCATATTGTATGTCCACCATACTAACGTACGTATAGAGTTGCTTGTATAACAACAGGCGTTTGAATATTCGATTCTGATTTCAGTCTGTCAGCGCATATAAGAAAAAGAAAAAAAGAAAAGATAAATAGACATGTTAATTTTCATACGTTGACTTCGATGATTTACATAATTGTATACTATTTCATCAATCAAAATTATCCATAGATTGTCGCACACACAAAATTCCTTATATAAATGCTAAGGCCTGTTGTTGTTGTAATCGTCGCAGTGTACCATGTTACTAGACTGCCATTCCAGTCAACAATCCATAGGAAAAGTCTGTATCAAAACTTCACTGACGAAAAATACTTCAATTAATTCAAAATTTTCAATAAAAGGTTCACAGCGTGAACCGGCTACAATTGTTAGCCATTCTCAATCGTCTCCTAGCAAAGCACCTGTGTGTGATTATAGTGATTTGAATGAAAAATAGGAAAGTATATATATGTAAGGAAGTTTATGCACGAACTCGGTCAATGGTCGAAATTTCACAGGGAGTTCATTTCAGGACTTACCACCCTAATTTTCTCGAAATGTATGTTTTAGAAGAATCCCGAGAAATCCCGTCAACAAAACCATCGAAGGGGACAAGTTTTCATGAAAAAATTAACGCGCCTTCTTTCATCTCCTGCCAGGGAGAGCTACCAACTACAGAATCTCAAATGCGAAGGCATATCAAGTCATACCTCATTTTGAAGGTCTTTGTAATCTCTAGACGCCGGTGTTTCTTTTTTTCAAATGTATTCATCCGTTGTCGTGATATTAAGAAAAATATGTTTGCTGCTGCCTACCATTGAAATAAAAACTGTAACTGTTCATTATCATTCTTTTCACTCCAAACCTAAATTGAAATATTGTACACTACTGTCACTTCAATAATTGTTCAAAATGTTCTCCATTATTGTCCAAGCAATGGTATAACAGCTGCTCAAATGTGTGGCGCATATTTTCACTTCTGGTCGAATTGCTTGACAGTCTGCAGTAATCCGTTGTTGAAGCTGTTGTAAAATTTGCTGCAGAGGTGTCTAAATCTGAATGAATATCCCCGTGGAAATAAATCACATGGTGCTAAATCCGGGGTCCTGACTATCAACTGTATAGGTCCTTTTCGCCCTATCCATTTACCAGGAAATACGTTGTGTAACCATTGACAGACCGGAATCACATAATGGGGGAGCTTTATCTTGTTGAAAATGTTAGTCATTTTTGTGGAGGAAGGTGATTTCATATCTTTCCAGTTGATTTACGAGTGCTTCAGTAATTAGAGGATTGATCGTAATTTCTAGCATATTCAAGTACACCTCAATTTAGATTTCCATTGATAAACAATGGACCAATTACTTGATTCCCTGGTATACCGGCCCATACATTTAGTTTTTGGTGATACTGGGTATGCCCTTCGACAAACATTTTCATTTTCAGTGTTCCAATATCTGCAATTAAGTTTATTGACAAACCCATTCGAATAAAAAAAAAAACATTCATCAGAGGAGCAGATAATAGAAAAAAAAACGATATTTTTATTATAAATCATTGTCATTTGTTCACGAAACTCAAATTGTTAGTCAAAATCGTCTTTAGTCAGACAGGGCCCAAGGAAACTCCAGTTGCAGCAGAAATTGAACGTAAGTATCAGGACTCATACCAAAATAACCTTACCTAACAATTTGAGTGGCATCAGACAAAACTCTTGACCGATTATGTTTTAAATTTGCAACTGATCCTGTCTGAGTAAATTTTGGTGATCAGATTGAGGATATACCGATGAGAGATGTACTTATCTGGGTGCCTTTCTTTAAATATTGCAGCAGTATAGCCAGTATACGCGTAGTGGAACTAGAAATTTGTTAAGAACACATTGTGGTTGACTTTTCTGTCGTTTATTTCGACCACTGACCGAATCATATGTATACAAACAAGAATATAGGAGGTTATTCTTCTACACAAGTTCTGTGTTAACCAGTTTTTCGTTCCTCAATGATAGGTTAGTCCAACGACAACGAACAGATTATAAGTTCTCATTTTTAAAAATTTCACAATGTGTTCTGGGTGGATGCGAAACTCCACGTCTTGATGTGGGTATAAATTTCGGCGATTATCTGAATTCAGCTATTGAGTACAACATGTCCATGGCAAGCTATACCACAGTTGATGAGTAAGGGGAATTGATTCCTTGTTGAGTAAGAGCGAGAGCTACATGTATTTGTAGTCTATTATAACAGGTTGATACATTATCATCATATTTGATGAATCCGTTATTGCGTGAACCAAGCAAGATCTTCGACCTCCTACCACTATTTATTACAAACGTATTAATTGATGATCATTATTAACTATAGTCACCTCATATCTACGTTATGATATGAGCTGATTTCGAAAGAATAAAATTATTCAAACCAAGGATTTCAATTTTTTGTTTATATCGAATTCTCGTCTTTCAATCAATATTTCCCGAAAAATCCATTCATACTGGGAATATCAACATTTAAAATGAGAATTCATTCCATTTTCAGTTCGGATATCTGTAGCACTAGTCTAAGCTTCAAAATAAATCATAACAGCTGCGAAGGTATAGTCCTCCAAAAGTCAATTGGAGAAGCTCCAGCAAAATACATACACCGCTTGTTTTGGCTCGTTTGAAGTTCCTTAGAAGGTCATGCACGTGGTGGACATTCCTTGCTCGAGGCGCTTCAACTGACTTTGGATATAGACGAGATTCTCAGGACTTCCGGGGGCGACGTGGGTAGGTCCTGGTATAGACTCTTTAATAATTAATGACATGTTATTTGGTACCTCACAGGTTTCAAAAACAAAAGTCTCGCCGTCTTGGTGTATTCAGGAACAAGTGAACCCAAAGCGCTGTAGACAGCACAACATAGCGACACAAGCCGTCAATAAACACAAACATACCTGGGATGTCACATTCATGTCTCGCTAAGTAACAATGCGAATTACAAAAAACATCATTGGTATTGCCAGGGGACCCTTCATTTTATAAAACATTAGGAATATACGTCTCATTTCATGGGATTTGATACTTGAAAAATTGGTGAATTTGTGAGGCTCCCTAACAACCAAGAGACTCACTGAAACCTCACATTCTTGTCTAATTATGTAACAAAATGAATCAATCAATTTTTATGTTCGGGTCATGGATGTGATGTGTGGCATGAATGTGATGCATTCTAATAACTCTGGTATCAATATGTGTTAACTGGGATCGGTGGCTCTCTGAATTCTGAAGACATATAATAGGGAATATGAATAAGAAATAAGGAGACTTTTTTTAAACAATATTACCTAACTCGGCCTAAATGGACCTTCTTCCTAGAAAGTATATTTTTTCGAAAAATATCCTGTTTGCCTAAGGAGACTAATTTCGAGAAACAATCTTCTTTCTAGATAGTATATTCTTACAAGCGTCTAGTTAGCAGACCACTGCATATAGCGGTGAATTTGAATTTGTTAGAGTCTACAAAAAATGTTCGATACTAAAAAGCATCATTGAAATAGCGAATCAATACAGGCCTCAACAGTAAATGCTTCCACATTATTTTTTTTCATATAATCATTTCGAAAATATGAAGAAGAGTAGGTGAAGCAGGATTCGAACCCGGGACCTTCCCCCATACGTTAACCCATACGTTGTTCTATTGACCATTGTATATGAAATAATGTACTAAACAGATTTACACAGGAAGCATTCTGATGCACACCACGCAAGCGCAACTTTACAACATTTTTAATGGTCTAAAATTTCAACAGCCTGCTCCTTAGATGTAAATGACGCTTGTTTCGGGTGCTGGCGCTGATGCTGTTCGGGTATTCTCATTCCTGAACACTCCAAGCCGAAGAGACTATTGTGTTTCAAGACGTGGACTATTCTTGTTGCTAGAATGATGGGGGGACATGTGCCAATCTTAAGGAACACAAAATGGAGGACTAAGCCCCAGGAAGCTGACGAAGCTCCTTATCGTTTGCTTACCTAGAATAATGCAGACACGGGCTCGAATAGTAACGTTTGTATCGAAGATCAGAAGCATAATCAAAAGGACAGAAAGATCTTGCCAAGACGTGATCGTTTCACTCACACTCTTCACCTTTGGATCTGATTGTCAAAAGAAAAAACGAGCAATAACCGCCAGATCATACACCTCTATCAAGGTTATAATCCGGCAACAATGCAGGGCGACAGCATTGGTTACAAAACAAAAGGACAAGCGCCGTTTAGGCGGTTGCATACTCGACAGGGAACCAGTCCTCCACAAAATATAATATTGATTGCTCTGAACTTGAGGAAATCTCAAAAAAATAGATAAATGAATATTCCACCTCGTCAATTATTACTGTCAATACTGTTGACAAATTCAAACGACAGTGCTACTCCGATTGTTCGTCAAGTCATCATAAATTCACATGTAATTAATATGTATTCCCTCAATAATAACATCCTTCCCAACATTGATGGTGAAAGTTATGAAAGATATATCACCTTATCAGAGCTCTAGCAGCATACACTGAAGGATGCTCCTTTAGATTGGGATTCAGATAAACTCTATTAAGATTTATTCCTCTATTATCAGTTCTGTAGTGACCTCTTGCAACACCATCCGGATTCAAAAATGGTATCATCTTAAATACATACAGTTTCCTCAAATTTTGGGCAATTAAGTCATCACGATTCAATAGAAGACTCAGCAAACCATTGAACACAAAGCTAGATGGGGTTTCTCCTGGATGAACTCTCGCAGAAACGAAAATTATCTGAAAGTGGAGAGGTATTTGAATTTGAGGTCAATATAAGATATTCATTTATAGAATACGAGGTGTTTCACGCTGGATGGAATATTAGGAGTATCTGGAGAACCGAACGACATTTGTGGATGTTCTATCCATCTAAAATATTTTCATCAATACAGTGTCCCCGCTTACATCAGAAAGTAATACCTACTTTGTTTTTCCAAATGTCATATTTTTGAATCTTTAAGATTTTCAATAACTTTATCTGATAATTCTCTATATCTGTAATTTTCGCGATGAAAATCATTTTGTCAAAGGTTTGTGCAAAAACTAACCCATGAAAAATATTCAGTGTGTCTCATTCCAAATGCCGCGCCCCCCCCCCCTATATCTCAGCTATTAGTCGTGCGATCTTCAACAAATTGGGACAGATATGTATGATCACCAATATGATCAGTTTTTCAGATACATCCATTTTTTTGAACATTGAAAAGGAGTCAATTTTTCATGAAATCATATTATGATTTTTTACAGGAAAACTGACCTCATAATATTGTTTTTCATGGTTTCAAACCCACATATATGTGTATTGTTATATGAATCTTATGAAGTTTCGTTCAGGTAGTCGACCAGTTCACACGCCTTTTTTTTCGCTCCGCTCCGAAACCTGATGAATTTCGTAAAAACAGTACATACATCAAGATCAATAGTTATTGCTGTTTGCTAGTTAAAAGTGCATCTTCGTAGAAAGTGTGCATCAAGTTTGATCAAGTTATCGTCCTTTTGTCTATGAATTACATTAGTTGTAACGTAGAATTTCATCAACTATTCATATGATTTTTTATAGACACTTGCAGTAAAAACGTTCATCGTTTTTTCTTGCGTTAATTAGTGACTTCACCATCCTACCTGAAATCATATGTGTTTGTGAAACGTGGCTAGTTTCGGAAGGGCCCATCCCATCATTTCTGCCTGATTACAACATGCTATTCTCACCAGCAATGCTAGTGGCGGATTATCAATATTAGAATAGAAATAGAAATAGAAACTTTATTGATCCATAAATTACCACAATTATAAGGGTGTTGGTGTTGGACAAGTCAACTTGTTTATACCAAGTGTGAAATTGAAATAAGTTGGATTAAAACATCCTCAAATACATACATAAAATATAAGAACGATACAATACAGTGATTATAGTATGTACATTTAAAAGAAACAGTGAGTCAAATGAGCCAGGATAAAATGAAATATGTAATATAAAAGTATCTGTGAATTGACTGTGAATTGACTATTTGTTAAGGTTCATTTTCAAACTCGTATTTTAGATATATCACCATGGTGGATTATTTGTCTGTTCAAATATAAGATCTTTTCTTTCATATTATGCTTTTGCTACTTCAAGCTAAGTTCTATTTCCGAAGAATTTTTAGATTTACTTCAAATTTCACTCAATGAGATATCAGAAACATATCGAAATCAACCTTTTATCTATGCAGGTGATTTTAATTCTAGAGTGGGTCAAAGTGCAACAATTCTCCAGCATCTTACTGAAATACAAATTTATACGAAAGTATGTTGAACTGTGATGGGGTGGTAACAGTAGGGGTTATAAGTTGATTGATTTCATGCTCGGGAACAATTTTGCACTGATCAATGGAAGTATCGCTTCAGATAGACCGGAAAAGCTTACATTCCTTGATTCTATGGGTACCAGTGTCATTGATTTAGCATTTTGCAACAACGCCAGTCTGCCTCATCTTCATAGTTTCAAAGTGTTAGATGACGCTATTACCCCTTCGGATCATTTTCCTACTCGTCTGGATATATCGAGTGAGTCAGGTGAGCACATCAATTACTATTATGCTAGTGATCCTAATGAAACTTCAATTTCACTGCGATGGGATGATTCTATTTCACTCTTATTCAAAAATACTATGCGTGTCTCCCCCAAAGTTAACTTTATAGAAAATGTAGAGAACTCCTACTCAAACTTACTTGAATCTATATGGGATGCCGCAGACTGTTTTAGGCTGATGCAACATAAAAAGCGTAATTGCCCTGGTTTTAGTGTTCACCATAACAAACCATGGTTCGACAAAGAATGCATTGAGATGAAATCGCTTGTAAAATCTAATTATAAAACATGCAAATCCAATAATTTTGGGGAGCCCCATAAAACAAATTACTTGAGTATGAAAAAAGAATATAAAAAAAACTATCAAAACGAAGAAGACTGAGTATGAGAAATCAAATGTTACCGCTTTAACCAATGTCAACGATCAAAGTTCTTTTTGGAAAACAATAAAAACATTTAATTCAGCCGGTCAGAACAATGTATGTCCAATATCTATCCAAACATGGGAATATTTTTACAATGAAATTCACAACCAAAAAAACTATATTGGAATATCAGTTTGTAGATGTTAGGAACTATTTCTTAGACTCTAATATAACGTTTGATGAACTTCTAATGAGTCGAAAAAAGGCAAAAAATAATAATGCTCCTGGAACTGACGGAATTTCTTTCGAGTTCTTCTAGAATTTACCACCAAATTGGCTTCATTATAAATGCAGTTTATTTAACAACATTTTCGAGTCTAGGTGTATTCCCAAAATGTGGTCTGAAACTATATTGTCCATGCTCCACAAAAGAGGCCCAAAGATGACCCAACAAATTACACTTGTTAACTGCCTAGCCAAATTATTCACGAACATTTTACTATTCAGATTAATCAATTGGTGTGAAGAACAAAATATAATCCCGGACTGCCAATCCGGATTCAGACAGGGCAGAAGCTGCATAGATAATGTCTTCATTTTGAGTTCGGTAATTCAGATCCATATGCGTCACAAGGGTAACAAAGTTTATGCTGCATTCGTCGACTTTGAAAGAGCCTTCGACTCTGTCAACCACGACCTATTATGGCACAAACTATATGGATTAGGTATTAGTGCTAAATATATCAGAATAATCAAAAATATCTATGATAATGCGAATACAAGTGTCAAATCTAATAACGACTTCACCAAACAATTTGAATTATCCTCAGGTGTTTTACAAGGTGAATGTCTGAGCCCCATTCTGTTCTCACTTTTTATTTCTGATATGGAGACTTTTCTCAAAGAGAAAGAGTGCACAGGTTTAAATATTGACAATGTTCAAGATCTTTCAATACTTCTTTATGCTGACGATTTGGTTATCTAGGGCAATTACCCTATTGATTTGCAACGAAAACTAAACAATCTAGCTGCCTATTCAGAAGAAAATAATCTACACGTGAACGTACCAAAATCAAGAATTGTGATATTTAGTAAAAGAGGGTACGGCTTCAACAGAAATTGAAATTTGTATTATAACAACGAACAGCTAGAAATATTGAGCAAGTTCACGTATTTAGGAATTGTATTCTCTTCGTCACCACTATTACTGAATATGGCAAATTCAATTCAATTAGAGAATTTTGTGCGTACCCAACAACACCCCTGATTATATCGTTAAACTTGAATCGAAGTCTACCAAATTGAGTCACCTCATTCTGAAAACTGCTTTGTCATGGATATATCACATTAACAACCTACCGGACTCACGTTTACCAAAAATATGTTTCAAACGCCTTATACAATTACGTGAGAATATGGATGTTAGATACAATTGGGTAAGTCAAATCGAACAATATATGGCAATTACTGGACACGAGAACTTTCTTATTGAGAACTTTTGAGCTGTTGATTTGAAAAAAAAGTGCGGAGGTCGCGATGATCAAAACAGACTGAATGACTCAACGTATCCATATATGTATAACTATTTCACAAGGCGAAATGGTTTATTTTATCTGAAACTGCTGATCCCTATCAGTGTAATCAGAATAATTTGTCAAATACGAACTTGTAGTAAAGATCAGATTACTTTTTCATACAGAGGAATGTACTACAAAATTGATTTTACTCAGCTCTGCACAATTTGTAATATGTACAGGAATAAAAGTCTAGAACATATTTGTTTCGAATGCCCGCTTCATGAAAACCAGAGGAATCCATTAAGGCCGAGTATTACGAACCTGGCTGATCTTATTGATGTACTTGACACTGGTACTCCCAAAACTCTTTTCATAATCTTCAACTATATTATTAACATCCTCAAACTACGTTCCTTCATATTGAACGAATGCACTCAAATTTGACACCTATATGTTTTTTTTTGACACCCCAAATTTTCGCTAACTCTGTCACTCACATCTATTTGCTTGCTGCTTTTTCTCTCTCTGCAGTTTTTCTGTGTGTCCACTGTCTTTCAAGTCAAGAATTTAGTGAAAAAAAAATGAAGCAAACCTCTTGTGATGAGAATGTAAATTTTCTTTTGACACAATAAATTGAATAGAATTGAATTGAATCCTATGAAGTGTTTCAAACAAATAGGCACATCTGAACAGCCTCTTTGCGAACGTAATAATTATTTATTCGGAAACGGCGAGTTCAACATAAAATAGTGTTTCTTGTTTCTTTCTTTCAAATCACGATTTTTTACCTAACAGAGCTTGTGAACGTTCCAAAATTAGTAATTTATTAAATTTGTATTCACTATTTTTCGAGGCTGAAAATGACAAAAATTAAGGCAATCCTGTTAATTTGGAATGGGGTGATTTTTTGCTGATTAGGGTTCAAAAGCATAAGGAACAATAATATGAAGTTAGTTTCCTTGCAAAAAAAATCCTAATATGATTTCATATAAATCTACACCATTTTTTTCGATGAAAAATCACGGCACTGTCTAACATGATGTTCGTCTCTGAAAAACTAATAATATTGATGGTTATTCATACCGGTCCAAATTTGGTACGAATCGCACGACTAATTGCTGCGTTATAGAGAGGGGTCGTTTGAAATGAGACACGCTGTGGATTTTTTCACAATGCAAATTCACAAAACATCGCAATTCAGCTCATAGCTGCATGAGACCATGAAGTATTTTGCCGATGAACTGGGACACCCTGAATTGGGAAGTTGAGACATTTTACCATTAA